AGGGAAAGAAGAACAGTGAGGGCAGCGGGGGACCATTCACTCATTCATCTAACAGGGGCTTCCAGGGCACTAGGACAAGGTTCTGAGATTCGGGGATAACAGTCGGAGCCCCTGTCCTCAGTGAGCTCCTAGTCACTGCGCTATAATAATTATACTACCATTTCATAGCACTATAGGAGCTCAGTGGGGACCTAAGTGAGGGAAGCTGGGGAGGCTTCAAGGAGGAGGTAACAATGAAACAATCACATGATAGGTGAAAGACACAAAGACTGAGCTATCAGTTGGCTGGGGGTCACAATGCAAGGGACTTACTACGTGGGACAATGGCACCACAGTACTCATGAGATACCGACCTCCTGATAGGGTCCGGACACGGAACACGAACTCTTGTAAAGACATCCGAGTCATATCAGGGAAAAGCTAATATAAATAGATTTTCCCTTAAAAGCTTGAAAACATACTCAATCTACTTCATGGAAAGAGTAATGCAAAATAAAACTACACTAAGATAGTATTTATCACCTATCAGATTGACAAAAGTCCCAAGTTTGACAGCACGCTCTGTTGAGGTTTTGAAAGAACATTCTCATACGCTGTGAGAGGGAGAGCATATTGGTATAATCCCTAGCAATGGAAAATTTGCAACATTTGTCAAAATTTAAACTGTATATACTCTTTGACCTAGCAATTTCCCTTGTAGGGATTTATACTACAGATACATTTACACACTTAGGAAATGTTATATATATAAGATTATTCATTGTGCCATTATTAGTATAAGACTGGAAATAACCCAATGTTCATATTAGGAGACTGGTTAAGTAAATTGTTTAATATTAAATAATATTAAACAACTTAAAAAAAAATAAAAGATCTCCAAGACAAAAGCGAAGTGAAAAAAGCAAAGTACAGTATAGTATGTAACAAGCTTACCTTTGGTGTAAGAAAGGAGAAAAATGGGAATCTATATTCATTGATTATATATTCATAAAATGCTTAAGTATAACTGTCAGGATACACTAGGTTATGCTGCAGTAACAAGTGACTAAAATTTCAGTGAGTTATACAGCAATATTTTTTTATTGTGTGCACTTCATGCCCCCCTCATGCAGGGGGCCCCCCTTCATGCAGCCCTGCCCCCCTCACTGTGAGACCCAGGCTGATAGACCATTAGGGAACTTTGCAGATTTCATGGCAGAGGGAGAGGGAATTAACTGGCTGTGAAATCTACCACCCGGGTGTGAACCAAACAATACCTCTGCCCACTTTTTGTTGGCCAAAGCAAGTCACATGACCACTATCGAGCGCAACAGGACAAAAATGTATATCCTGTATGGACGAGTACCATAAATCACATGATCAAGCCTGTTGACAGGCTTGTATAAGCATCTCACTGGGAGGGGGAAACAACTAATTTTGAACAATAATGCAATTTGTCACTAAGAAATTAACGGAACAGTGATCACCTGTGGGATAAGGTTGAGGAAATTGGTTGGATAGGAGGTAGGAATAAGATGGACACTTTCACTTAGCACATATATATATTTGAATATATATGCTCCATGCTCCATTCAAAGAAGAGTAAATGCTGGGAACACCACGGAAGAGACAAGTCTGGATCTACTTTATCTGGTTTGAGGACCCAAGTGACTCAGTGGGGAGCATCGTAGCCCCTGGGCCTTCACCCAGCGTGGGATACCAAGGACCCAGGATAGAATAGATAGATAGATAACGAACCTAGGGCAGCTGGCAGGCATGTAAACAGCAAGTGATTAAAACTCATGGGAAACCAGAGTTTAGCACCTAGAAGGCAAGACCAAGAATCGGATCAAAGAGAGAAGGAAGGCCATTAACTTAAAAATGAACTTTAAGGTTGGAAACTAAAAAGATGGGACATGGGTCAGGAGGTGGAGTGCAGGGTGAATGGGGAAAGCAGTTCAAGACCAAAGTCAAGACAGCAAAAGCCCCAGGTTTCCGGGCTATGAGCTGAGGGGGTGGCAGTCCAAGAGCTGAAAGTTTCTGGTAGGGACCCCATAGTAGCCCAGAGCACGAGCCCACCAAAGGCTGGGCCCCAAGAGCACTGTGTCTGTGGCTCCCGGTGGTATTACCAGGAGTTTATAATCCACGGGGAATCTTACAGAGGAGGGTCCCGAAGCCCACCAGAGGGCAGCAGGGATTGCTTGAGGGGTTAAAACAGTTACCTGTGCACACAGCTCCTGCACTTGCAGATGCTCTGGAGACGCCTGTGCGGGCCTTAGTGGCCTTTGCATGGAGATGGAGGGTCTCCGTGAGACTGGGTACATGGTTGATCATTCTCTCCTGTGATACTGCTTTCTGTCTTCCAGTATCATTTCAACCCCTCGCAGTCTGTCCTGGTGATGGAAGGTGACGACATTGGGAACATCAACCGTGCCCTCCAGAAGGTCTCCTACATCAACTCCAGGCAGTTCCCAACCGTGGGTGTGCGGCACCTGAAAGTCTCTTCCAAGGTCCAGTGAGTGGACGCTGGGCAGCCTGGGGCTCAGCCAAGGCATCAGGGATGGTCCCTGGGAATGTTCTCTCGTAAAACAGGATTCACCTCTCTTCAACTATTGGCAGCTTCTCTGCTCTCCCTATGAGGACACCCCAATGGATCTGTGTTCTGTTTTTGTTGTTTTTTTTTTTAAGTGAAATATAGTTGACATACAATGTTTTGTTAGTTTCAGGTGTACTGCTTAGTGATCTGATATTTACATACACTATGAAATGATCACTATGATAAGTCTGGTAACCATAGGTCCCTTTACAGATTTATTACAATGTTATTGACCATATTCCTTATGCTGTATGTTACATCCCTGTGGATTTTTTATTTTATAACTGGAGGTGCGTACCTCTTAATCTCCTTCACCTATTTCACCCCAACCCCAACCCCCTCCCTTCTGGCAACCACCTGTTCTCTGAATCTATGAGTTTGTTTTTGTTTTGTTTTTTAGATTCCACATGTAAGTGAAACCATACGGTCTTTCTCTGTCTGACTTATTTCACTTAGCATAACACCCTCTAGATCTATTCGTGCTGTTGCCAATTGTAAGATTTTATTTTTTTTCTCATGACTTAGTAATATTCCGTGTGTGTGTGTGTGTGTGTATATATATATATATATATATATACACACACACATCATTTATTATTATAGTATTAATATGTGTTAAATATATACTATATTACAAATATATATCATAAAAATATATATATATATATATATATATATACACACACACCATAAATATATAAAACCACATCTTCTTTATCCAACCATCTATCCTTGGACAGTTAGGTTGCTTCCATATCTTGGTCAATGTAAATAATGCTGCAATGAACATTAGTGTGCATATATCTTATCGAATTACCATTTTTATTTTCTTCAGGTAAATACCCAAAAGTGAAACTGCTGGATTATAAGGCAGCTCTATTTTTAGTTTTTGAGGGGAACCTCCATACTGTTTTCCATAGTGGCGGCACGAATATACGTTCCCACCAATAGTGTTTAGAGGTTTCCTTTTCTCTCCATGCTCGCCAACACTTTTTATTTATTTTATTTTTGATATTAGCCATTCTGACAGGGGTGAGGTGGTACCTCATTGTGGTTTTGATTCACATTTCCCTGATGATTAGTGATGTTGAACATCTTTTCATGTGTCTGTTGGCTATCAGTATGTCTCCTTTGCAAAAATGTTTATTCAGGTCCTCTGCCCATCTTTTAACTGGGTTATCTGTTTTTTGCTGTTGAGTTGTATAAATTCTTTGTATATTTTGGATATTAACCCCTTACTATGTAAGATTACTTGCAAATATCTTCTCCTATTCATCAGGCTGGCTTTTTATATTGTTGATGGTTTCCTTCACTGTGCTCAAAGCTTTTTAGTTGGATGTAGTCCCATGGGTTTATTTTTGCTTTTGTCTCTGTTGCCTGAGCAGACACATCCAAAAAAATATTACTAAGACCGATGTCAAAGAGCACACGGCCTATGCTTTCTTCTAGGAGTTTTATGGCTTCAGGTCTTTCTCATTTTGAGTTTACTTTTGTGTATGGTGTGAGAAAGTAGTCCAGTTCTATTCTTTTGCATGTAGATGTCCAGTTTTCCCAACACCAGTTATTGAAGAAGCTGTCTTTTCCTCATTTTATATTCTTGCCTCCTTTATCATTGATTAATTGACCATATATGCATGGGTTCGGTTCTGAGCTCTCTATTCTGTTCCACTGATTTACGTGTCTGTTTTTGTGCCAATACCATACTGTTTGGATTACTCTAGGTTCATAGCATAGTCTGAAGTCATGAGTGTGATACCTTCAGCTTTGTTCTTCTTTCTCAAGATTGTTTTGGCTATTTGAGATCTTTTATGGTTTTAAACAAATTTTAGAATTATTTGTTCTAGTCTGGTGAAAAATACCATTGGCATTTTGATAGAGATTGAATTGAATCTGTAGATTGCCTTGGGTCGTATGGTCATATTAATAATATTATTTCTTCTAATCCATGAGCATGGTATATCTTTCCATTTGTTTGTAATGTCTTTAATTTCTTTCAGCAATGTCTTGTAGTTTTCTAAGTAGAGGTCTTCTACCTTCTTGGTTAAGATTTATCCCTAGGTATTTTATTCTTTTTGATGCGATTGTAAATGGGATTGTTTTTTAATTTCTTTTTCTGACAGGCTGTTGTCAGTGTACAGAAACACAACAGATTTCTGTGTATTAATTTTGTATCATGCAACTTACTGAATTCATTTATTAGTTCTAATAGATTTGGGTAGCATCTTTAGGATTTTTCTGTGTATAGTATCATGCTCAACAAATGTTTATTAATTCAATTAAATTAACCAACCTAGCCTTGATAGAGCTCCTAAATACCATGAGTATGCAAGAGAAAGAAAAGGCATGGTTCCTGTCCCCAGGGATCAGAGTTAAATTAAGGAAATGAGACCATCATTGTGACCTTTAAATAACACCCTTACTGGCCTATCAAATCATTTCTCAGCCAAACAGCTGCTTGGGAGGGCAGCTAGGAAGGGGACCCCAGAAAAACTCCTGAGAAGCAGAAAGGGAGCCACCTGGCACCTGGAGCCAGAAAAAGGAACCAGAAAGACAGGAACAAGGGTTGGAAAGATGGGTCTGCTGACTGCCATGTTGCCGGGGCCTGGGACAGATGCTAGGATGAAGTCCACAGATGGCAATTACATTCAACAGTTCTAGTGATGGAGAAAGTGCTCCCACCTCCACACTAAAGGCCACCCCTGGAGGCTGGGGGTAGGCAGCCAGCACCTCCAGGTCAGCACCACACTGCAGTGAAGAAAAGGGACCAGACTGGCTAGTCTCCAGCCCTAGGACCAGGCTTCCATAAACTGGCAAGGGGAGGGGCGTCCTCTGTAAATGGTAGGGTTGGTGCCACAAAGGCAAAAAATCTGGAAGCCCGAGCCCACCACTTACTTCCACACCTTGCCCACCCTGGAGAAGATGGGGTGTCTCAGCCTATCCTTCCCCCAGGAACTTTGCCAAGGGATGCAAGTTGATGGCTGCCACCAGCTGGAGTCCACCCATCATTCCCAGAGCATCTCTCTAGACCCTGGGGTTCTCCATTTTAGCTTAGGTCTTTGGTCTAGATGATCAGCAGAGAGTGCCAGTGACACACATGCCTGATGAGGTCTGCTGACACTGTCAGATCTGTCAACATTTACTGAGCTCCATCCATGATGCAGGCTCCTGGGCAGCTTCCTATCTACATGTCATCTGCATTTAAGCCTTACTACTATAAGGTAATTAATTATTCATCCCCACTGTATAGATGAAGAGACTGAGGTTCACAGGAGTCGTGCCCCTTGCCCAGAGCCTTCCAGTCCAGGAGTGGCAGAGCCAGGCATGGACCCTTGCCTGTCTCACTTCTGAGGCTTTGCTCTTGTTGTCACACCACTCTGGCTCCCAGATACTTTTGTGGCAGTGTATCAGGAAAAAGGAGTATGATTACAATAGCAGTCTGCTGGCACATCTGGAAGAGGCACCGCACTTGTGTGATATCCTTGTAGAGAGAGAACATATACGCTGTTCCGGCAGGCAGGAGAGTTTAGCCCTGGGGTCTCACTCAGTAAGATGGCTGTAACTAACCAGCGAGACAACAATTTATTTACCAAATCCTTATGCGCATAACAAGCAGCTGCTGTCTAATTAATGTTGCCATTGATTACTTTGTTAAAGGATAATTAAAGGTCTAATGGTTACTTGTTGCTGGTATAGAAAATTCCTATTTCACCCCAGGAGCTAATCTTTTCAAGTCCCTAGATTGCTAGTAGCTGTAACTAAAATGCGGCTTTGAATCTGAATGTGTGTTGACATCCTCAGAGGCTCTCAGGCAGTCAGGATGTCTCGTGGAGGACCAGAGGTGGCTGTATGTATCTTTGTCCGTGGCCGGATGATTCCAGGGCTTGCTCTTCAGTTGCCGTGACTGCTGTTTTCCCAGATGCTTTGGAGAAGATGTGTGTATCAGCCTCCCCGACGTGGACGCCTACGTGATGGTGCTGCAGGCCGTCGAGCCCCAGATCACCCTCCATGGCACGGACCGCGTCTGGAGACCCACTGCCCAGTTTGAAAGCGCCAAAGGGGTTACCCTCTTCCCCGACATCAAGATTGTGAGCACCTTCGCTAAAACCGAGGCCCCCGGTGACTTGAAGGCCACAGGTACAGGCGCACACTGGGTTGGGGGGTGGGTGGGACCTTAAATTCTCACGTAAAGTATGATTCTCATCAATCACACTTCAGGACAACTGAGGTATTGTTCACCATAGCGGGGCAATTTATGATAACGGAACAAAAAAGCCTGGAAACAATGCAGATAAATAACAGAGAGGAATGACTGGCTTAGCAAATTGTGGTACCCCCATTGAAGAGGTATGATGTTGGAGGGAAGGCACTTATGCCAAACAGCAAGTTAAAAAAAAAAGCAAGATGCAAATTACAGAGTAGCTACATGTAGAGTGATCACAAGTCTGTCAAGAAAAAAATATGTAGAAAAATGCCCAGAAGGAAACACACCTAATGCTAACAGTGATATTCTCTGAGAAGCAGGAAAACAGCCAATTTGTTTCTGCTCCCCTTCACTTCTCTACAACTGCAAAATGTTCTGTAGTACACGTGTATTATTTTGGTTGTGAGAAGAAAAGTTAAAGAAGCATGAAGAAAAAAATAGAGCTGCATCTTAATATATACACCGTAAAAGTCCCCTTTGGCAACATCACTCTCAACTCTCAGGGGACTTTCCAGTTGTTCTTTCCAACAGTTTCATTGTCGGCAGGGCTGTTCAGTAAAAGTAATTCGAATTGTCTGCCAGGAAGAAACACTGAGTTGCTCTGAAAGCTACGGTATATTCGGCTGCTGGGGGGGTAGAGGGATGGAAGGATATGGAAGGAAGGCAGGAAAACCTGGCGCCCAGATCTACGGGGGGAATACGAGTTTGAGAACCGTCCTTTGCTGCCTCCTCCAAAAGAATGTTTTCAACTCTCCCTCTCCCCCTCCCAGAGCAGCTGCTAACGATGTGCTAGTGCCAGTGGGCCTGAGTTCCCGAAGGGCTGCTTCTATAATAATCCTAACTACCCACTGCCTTCAAGCATGCTGGTCCCCAGCAAATGGGATGCCTGGCAAGACAGCCCTTCTTAGCTCACAAAAATAGATGGTGTTATACCACCTGTCTGGGCAGGGCCGTTTCCCAGTTACTCTCCAAGGTGCATTAGGTCGTGTGATCTTCCCTCTTGCCCTCATCTGTGGCTAACATCAGACAGGAAAAGGAAGGGCCTCCGACTGCGGTGGCTGCAGGCCGTAGCTGAGAGTATCTGGATTCCCGAGGCCTGACATCAGCCTACAGGCAACGCAGGGACAAGCAATTATCTGGGTCCACATCTCACCTTCTGTTTATGAGAGGTGCATGCAGACTGCGTAGCCAAGTGCCCGAGAGCTATTGTCAGTACTTTTACAATTTCACTTTTATCGTTGTAAGAATAATCATTATTATGGGTGCCGTAAACAAGCAGGCTAATGGCATCTGCCACCCGTGACCCTCTCCACCACCATCTTCTGCCCTCATCGACTCACTCTTTGTGCTGTTTCAGTACCAATGACATCACACCCCTCTCTCCCTCTGTGTTAGCTTACATGTCTACTCACTCTCTACCCTCGGCCTGGAAGCTCCCACTCTGTCCCGTTCCCCATTATTGCTGACAAAAATCTCTACCTTCAACCCCTCTTCCAGAAGACCCCACCACCCTGACCCCAGGCTGGTACTGTACACGCCCAACCACTCTGTACGCTTCCAGCCCCTAGCGCTCTCTCTCACACACACTGGCGAGCCCTCGGTGATGATTATCTGTTTATTAAACCAGACAAGGATCTCCTCCAGAGCCCAACTTACTGATTTGCCAGTAAGTCCCTGAGCCCAGTACAGTCCCTTCAGCACAGTGGGAATCAGGGAAACTGATGGAAGATTTTGTCCATATGCAAGCGCAAGAGAACGAGAGAAAATGGTGGAGTGAACACGCCCCCTACCTAGGGTGAGCAATCAGTCAGCAGTTGGGTCATAGGAGCCAGGATGACCCAACCTGACCTGACAAGAGTACGGCTCCCAAGAATACCCAGAAATCACAGGCCATTCGAAAGAGAGATATATGTGTACCATTATTAATGACAGACTTCGTTAAGTGTATATTAACATGCTTTTAGATTTTGCCAACGCTACACGAAGCCATTGAGATTGGCAAGCATTTAAAAAGTAAGTGTACGAAATTATTTATAACAACATATACCCGTTGAGAGCAAAAAATGTTTCTGGTATCCCTTAAAAACTAAACAAAATAAAATAATTATTTAAAATAGCTCTCTCATCTTTTGTGAATCCTTTAAAAATTTGTTTTCATAAATGTTTTATCATGCACAAAATACACCAGTCTGCTTAATGAGTAAATATACTTATTTAAATGATCTCTAGTTCACAAATTTTTCAATATAAGCCCGCAAGATCAAAAATATTCGAAGACCACCAGCCCAGAGGTTGAGACTTTCACAAAGTGTGGGATCAGAAGGTCATGGTTGCCGTCCAGCTCCTCCCCTGTTGTCTGTGTGACCCCAGGCAATCCACCACACCCCACCCCATGGGCTGTCCATTCCCCCATCAGTGAAATGGGAATAGTAATATACCCCCTCTAGTGTCTGTCTGTTAGGATTTCCTTTGCACTGTGCCTGGCATATAGCAAGGACTCCATAACTACTAATCACTTTTTATCTTAAAGTAGGATTTTCAATTAGGACTGCCAACCTGTCCAGCATTCAAATACTCAGACACTCCCCTGGGAAACTTGGGGTCATAGTATCAGGCAAGGACGGCTAGGCTGTCCAGGAACCAGAAACACAGGAACAAGGGTTGGAAAGATGGGTCTGCTGGCTGCCATGTTGCCAGGGCCTGCTGGGACAGATGCCAGGATAAAGTCCACAGATGGCAATTACATTCAACAGTTCTAGTGATGGAGAAATTGCTCCCACCTCCACACTAAAGGCCACCCCTGGAGGCTGGGGGTAGGGAGCCAGCACCTCCAGGTCAGCACCACACTGCAGTGAAGAAAAGGGACCAGACTGGCTAGTCTCCAGCCCTAGGACCAGCCTTCCATAAACTGGCAAGGGGAGGGGTGTCCTCTGCAAATGGTAGGGTTGGTGCCACCCAAGCCGACCACTTACTTCCACACCTTGCCCACCCTGGAGAAGTTGGAGTGTCTCAGCCTACCCTTCCCCCAGGAACTTTTCCAAGGGATGCAACAGCTTGCCAACAAGACTAACCAATTTACTTATTTAATTATATCACCAGTGCAGCTCCACTTCAGCAATGTGTCGTTGCCAGCCCCTCAGATACCGAAGAGATAGTCACGCAAAGTGCTTCTGCCCCTGAGAAGTTCAGAGTCTGCTGGGAGAGACAGAGACACACACCATGACCACACGGGGAAAGCGATGAGAGCCTGGTGGAGGGGCACTCATCTCTGGTCCCAAAGGAGACCATTCCTTCTTGAGCATCTATTCTGTGCCACACATTGTTTTCAATCCTCTCAATGCCCTTACCTCTTTACAGATAAGGAAATTGAGCTGTAGGTGGTTTCTCTAATACTATACGGCTTCTCAGAAGCAGCACTGGTATTCAAATTCACATCTTTTTTTTTTTTTGCGGTACGCAGGCCTCTCATGTTGTGGCCTCTCCCGTTGCGGAGCACAGGCTCCGGACGCGCAGGCTCAGCGGCCATGGCTCACGGGCCCAGACGCTCCGCTGCCTGTGGGATCTTCCCGGACCGGGGCACGAACCCGTGTCCCCTGCATCGGCAGGCGGACTCCCAACCACTGCGCCACCAGGGAAGCCCTAAATTCACATCTTTTGACTGCTGTGTTCATGCTCTTCACATAAATTCGTGCCGCCCAGCCTCAGGGGCTGCCTGGACATCCATCTGAGCAGTGGAGGTGATATTTGGGATCGCCCAGCCTCTCCTCCTGACCCAGCCTGAGCCTGGGGTTCAGTGACGGAGGAGGAAGACAGTGTGTCAGGGCCATGACCTGAGCTGTCCTCACTCCTGTGTTCTCCATGTGTCTGTCTTCCCACAGCCCCCAAATCAAAAGTTTTTGAAGAAATGCTCCACAACTTAGATTTCTGTGACATTTTAGTGCTGGGAGGGGACTTGGACCCCAAACAAGAGTGCTTGGAGCTCAGCCACAGCGAGCTCCACCAGCGACACCTGGACGCCACCAACTCCACGGCCGGCTACTCCATCTACGGTAAGGCCGCGCTCAGTCCTGCGCCTGGTGGTCCCTTCTCAGTGGCCCTGTCCAGGGAGCCATGAGTGTGATGGAAGCTCCATCTCCTGTGGAGGTGGGTCAGGAGGGAGCCCTTGACCTCAGAGCGTGGACTTCTAGCCCCCACTTTGGCGAGCTATTCCAGTATCCTGGGGAATTGGCTCTCATTCCACTCCTGGGGAAATCTGTAGAGACTAGGCGGGTGCCTACTCTTATCATGTTTGATCTCAGCAAGTATTACAGCAACATTTGGCAGATTGAGGCCAAACGTTCTGGTCAGAGCCCAATCTACGTGGAAATTCTGTGCTTCAGTTTAACTGGCCCCTTAGAATGTCTGCACTGGCACAGTGTCTGCCCCTAAACACCCTGAGCTCTTACCCTCACCGACTTCAGGAGACCCACACCGCCAGCAGCTGCAGCCTGTCTCCCCAGCCCCTCTTCTGCCTTCTTACGACGGGTGTGGTCTCTTGACACAGGTGTGGGCTCCATGAGCTGCTATGAGCAGGTGCTACGTCACATCCGCTACCGCAACTGGCATCCAGCTGCCCTGGAGGCCCGGCGGTTCAGGCTCAAGTGCTCGGAACTCAATGGGCGCTACACCAGCAATGAGTTCAACTTGGAGGTGAGTGAGTCCCGCAGTTGTGAGGGAAGCCCCGGCCCGCCCATTCATTCACTTCGCTTATATGGGAGAACTGCGGCCACTGGTCCACCTGCCACTCCCGGCCCGCAGCATCGCTCCCTGCTCTTCTCAGGTCAGCGTCCTCCATGAGGTCAGGGTCTCAGACAAGGAGCACGTCAACCACCTCATCGTGCAGCCACCCTTCCTCCAGTCTGTCCACCACCCGGAATCCCAGACTAGCATCCAGCGCAGTTCAGGTAGGTCACATGGGAGGAGGGACCTCAGGACACCAGGTGCTGATGGTGACTCAAGACCGTCCACTCAACAGACAGTTAGGGTGCAGCAGCGCCAGAGGCGCCCAGAACTGAAGGAGGTGCCCGGCCGTGCAGAAGCTATGGGCCTGGCTGTGAGGCACTCACAGCCTCAGGAGGGCACAGGTCAAGTAGACAAGAAGTTATAAGAAATGTATAATAGCAGAGGTTACAAAGGGCTGGGGTAAAATTTTGCAAGTCCTCTTAGACCCAACTCAAAGCTACAGGCTGTATGTAGCCTTCCCTGAGCCCCTCACACATGCTCACGCACACGTATGCACCATATTGCAAAGTCTCCCACCCTTACTTCTGTTCCAGTACCTTCCATATTGTCTTCCTATCTGGCGGGCACTTCTGTCTGTCCCGACTGAACTCCACAGTTTCTAGCTCTCGGGGGGAGGGGAAGGGGGCTGCCCTATGCTTTGATGGAAAAAGCAAGAGATCAAAGAGAATGTGCACTTATTGAGCACCTAGTATGTGCCTCTGTGGAAATTCACATAGATGATTTCATTTGCTCCTCACACCTACCCATGGGATAGGAATGATGAAGTCTACTATATAGATGAAAAAAGTGAAGCCCAGACAGAGTAAGGTTCTGACCCAGAGCTCTCCAACTGGGCAGCGTAGGGCAGATTTTTAACCTACACGTGGATGTTTCAATCGTGTTCCATCCCAAGGGTGAGCTAGTCCCTCGCTCACCACGTCCTGCGAATTCCTTCCTCATTCCAGTGGTCCCGAGCATTGCCACGGTGGTCATCATCATCTCCGTGTGCATGCTACTGTTTGTCGTGGCCATGGGCATGTACCGGGTCCGGATCGTCCACCAGCACTTCACCCAGGAGTCTGAGGCTGCCAAGGAAGCCGAGATGGATTGGGACGACTCGGCACTTACTATCACGGTCAACCCCATGGAGGTAACAGTCGTCACACGGGGGCTGGGGGCTCAGAGGGGGATGCCTCTCCCCCACCCAGCTCCATCCTTCCTGTGCCAGAAGCCCTGCCCATCCAGCCCAGCCCCACTGGTCCTTCCCTTCTCCGGGCTCCTCCAGCCTCTCAATCTGCATGAGCCACACTTACCCACCAAATGCATTCCCTGCTTAAAAACGTGTGAATTGCTCTCACCCAACAAACAAAACTAGATATTTCTTAAGGCAAGCAGCCACGTAGTGTCTGTCCCTGGCCTCCCCTGTAGTATTTAGCTCAGAGCTGACTCACTCTCAGGGACTCGGTATTGAATTTTTGATTAGCTACCAGTATAAATTAGATGGCTTTGCTCCATCTGCCTGCAGAGCTCACTTAAAGACTCAGAATACGTTAATACAAAAACCCAATGATAATGCCTGCCATTCATTGAGCCCCCATCACGCCAGCACTGCACAGGGTCCTCAACACGCACCACCTCATTTAATCTTCCCACCAACCTGTGAAGTGGGAGTCACCCTCCTCATTTACCAAAGGTAGGACCAACTCCGAGAGGGAGAGTAAAGTACTCAAACTCGCAGACCTGGTAACGGCACCACCAGTATTCAAACCCACGCCTGTCTGATTCTAAAGTTATCTTTCCAGTTGGCCATCAGCCCCCAGAATCCACCCATGAGTGTCCAAATGTCCCTGACCTGGACATAGGACACTCAAGAAAAGCCGCTTCCGTCGGGCCCTTTGGTCTGCCCATGGCTGCTGGGTGGGGGGAAAGGCAGGAGTAAGAAAGCGAGCGAGTCAGTGGCCATGAGGAGGAGCCACTGAGGAATGAAAAGTATCCCAGCCGGTCCCCAGTTTCCCCGCCTCACCTGGCCTCCTGCTCCAACTTCAGAGCCAGCGTACCAATGCCAGTCAGCTCGTCCCAGCGTGTGCTGTAGGTATAGGGCTGAGCGCACCACTCTGGGGACCCCAGCATTTCCACCTTCAGAGAGCTGAGCCTTGGGCCTAGGAGGCAAGATCATTATGCCTGGAGCGCTCTGAGTACCCGGCCAGAGCGTGCTCACCAAGGGCTAACCCGGTGATGCCTGCAGTCAGTGAAGCATGAGCAGGGAGAGCCTTTGGGGCTGTCCAGGGAAGATTTCTTGAAGCCTCAGAGAGGCCTTGAAGAATGAGTAGGATCTGGGGGAGGCACAGGTAAAAGAGAAAACACTCCAGAGATGGGATGTAGCCAAGCATGGGCTCACATCTCTTATGGCTGGTTTATGAACTCAAAACATAAATCCAGAAATAAGATTTGACTGGAATTGCCAAAAAGCTGGGGGGAGGGGGAGGGCGCTGGAAAAGCGTGGGGTAGAGTTTGAGGACACAAACCCCCAGGGGTGAGGGGCAGGCGTGGAAAATGAGGACCGTGAACCCTGTCCTTCTGAAAGGAGTATTTTGGAGGGGCGGCACAGCCACGTCTCGGCTTAGAAGACCTTCTGCTCCCAGAGACATTATTTTCCCACCTGGAAGAGGGGTACAAGCTTAAATGCTATCCTCGCATTGAGAAGCAAGTCATTAAAGACTTGGACACCTATGTAGATAGGTTTCAGAAATGCCAGAAAAGAAACTTTGGCCCGAAAGCCTCCCTGAATGAGGCATGGGATCGGCCTCAATGTCCAATGTTTAAAACGCAACGATTTACCTTGAGGTTGGGTCCTGGAATTTGCCATTTCTTGTCTTTGGCCTTAGCCCTCCGACTGGTCTTTCACCAAAGGACTTCCCTTCCAGGAAGCCTATCTCCCGGCCCAAGGGTTTAGCATCAAGGGAAGGAGTTGCAAGGGGCCCTAAACGTCTCCTTAATGGAGGGAGAAACAAACTCCAGCGTGGCTCCTGTTTGATCCCTGATGAGCGTTTCCCTTCTCTCCCTGCCATCCAGAAACACGGAGCCCCAGCACGTGGGGAAGATGAGACCGAGGAAGAGGAAGAGGAAGACCTAAGCTCGAGCAGCAGCGACTCCGAGGGCAGTGACGAGGAGTATGGGGTGGGCAGGGGCGGACACGGGCAGGGCGGAGCCGCGCAAGCGCAGCTGGAGTGGGATGACTCCACCCTCCCCTACTAGTGCCCGCCTTCTGCGCCCGCCCACGTGTCCCTTTTGGAAGCCCCACCCCGATGTACGCCCCAGCCTATCGCGTCGCCTCTGACTTCTATGACAGGTCCCGGCAGGCCTTCCCCAGCATCCTGGAACCCACCCTTTACGCCTTGGGTACTCCCCGCGTCCCAGCCCTGGGGCGGTTCCCAGAAGCCCAGCGTCATCCTCACTGGGGACTTCAGGGGGGACTTTGTCCTGTGGCCCCCACTTCTCTTGTCCTGGGCTCACCCAGCAGCCTGGATCCGTGGGTACCGTGTTTGCTCTTCCCTGCAAGGGAGGTCAGCCTTCATGTCGCTCCCCTACCTGGGCTCCACGTTCTCAGGGCCCTGAGGTTCCAGTCCCCCGTGCGGGCACTGACTCCGTGGTGTCTCCACACCGACCATCAGGTTCTTCGCACCTGACTCTCGAGGCTGCTTCCTACAAGCAGGATGGTCAGACTCCACACACCCGAGGTCTAAGTCCTCAACACTTCAAAGGAACGTCCGTACCGAATTAAGTTTGCAGGGAAGGGTTTGCCTAGGCTGTCCCCACTGCTCCCCCCCGCCACACATACGTGCTCTTCCATTTTGGAGAGCCTTTCCCTTTGTCCTTTTTGAGGCCACAGAAGCTCATATGAAAAGTCCGAAGCCAGGAGCAGGCCCTTGGCCACAGCAGGGCCTGGTTCCAGCCAGAGTTCTCTGAGAACCTGCCTTCCTGGCAGCTGCTGAGACCCGCGGTGCTGCCCTGCTGGGGGCTCCCACCACACGACACCATGAGGGCCAGGAAGCATTGCACGTAGCCACTGCCCTGGGTGACAGCTGTGACAAGCCTACAGCCAGGGCTCAGAAGGAAGGGCTTCATGGTGGACGCAGAGCTGGGTGACAGGGGTGGCTGGGCTCTCCCGGGCCAGAGGGCGACCCCAAGGTTGACAAGGCTCTCACTGTCTAGTCTTAGGGTCCCTCATCCCCTGGTTCACAGTTTTGCCTCTTGAGAAGAAACACTCCTCTTGGATGTTTTGGAACAAGCATGAACTGCGCCGAGTCTAAAATAAGAGTTTGGAGATTTAACTGCTAGAAATTAGAAGCATCTTTGCCATAATAACAGCTTCTTTCTTCTTCTCAGAAAAGGAGCAATGCTTTGGGTGGAGGGCAAATATATCCAAAAGCCATTTCCTTCTTTCCTACTTCTTTGTTTTAATAAGGAAACCTTTTCCATCTCCATCTTAACATGGACACTTTGGGAGGAGGCAGTTGCTATAGTAACTGGTCTGTGATCTTTTCTGGCGGAGAGTATAGCAGGCAAGAGCTAGGGCTGTTAGAGGACTTCCATGAGGCTCTAAGAACTTCTTTGTTTCAAATGTCTTGGGCTTTTTTTGTCCTCAGTATGTATGATCTGTCCCCTCTCTCCCCCACCCCAACTCCCAGCCCATCCCGTACTGGCATGGGCACAGAGCTGGTCCCTAGGCACAGGGTATTCAGGTTCAAAAGAAAGCTCGGAATCTGTTCATCCTACTCCCTGTGTCAGAGAGACACAGCTACTCTCCTACTCAGAGAGAGCTTATGAAGGGGGACCACCATCAATGTCTTTTAGTCTGACCTCCACCCAGTGAGGATCTGTGACAGGTCTTTGCAACCTTCTGATTTGAGGAAACCACCTTAGGCAGCCTTTTCCTTCGCCTAAAGTGTTTTTTGCATCTGTTTCCTCCTTTGAGCCTCACAATAATCCCATGAGGGAGTGGGGAAGGCCTGTTGTTAGACCCATTTTCATGATGAGTAAACTGAGGTTCAGAGATTCAGCATCTTGCTCAGAGTCATTCCGAGGCATAGACAAGATGGGACTCCCCACTCTTGGCCCAGTGCCTACCACCCTGATTCTACCTATTCGTATTCATGCAGCTAACAGGCATTGCTGAGGACCTACTACGTGCTAAGCGCTCTACCAGCAGCTGTGGGAAAGGGAGAAAGTGCAAGAAGCTCCTCCCTCAGAGGACTTGATGGTTGCAGAGGAGAAACAGGCATAGAAATCATACACGAGACAAATGCAGAGGGAGGGAGAGGAGAAGTCACAGCCTCTGATTTTCCCCTCCTTAGAAAAGACGCTGGCAGAAGTTTGGGGTCTTGTATTCATTGACTGGAAATAGACACCTCTGTGAATTGTCCCAGTCAAATAGCCCTTTTCTATCAGGCAGGGTCTGCACATGCAGAAGGAGAAAATCTTGGATTTTTAGTCCTCACAGACCCCTTAGTTAAATAAAAAGAGACTTTTTAGCCAGCCATTTAGGAGCTAACAGAATTCTTCCAAAATTAAGGCAGTAAAATGAGTACTGTATTTATAGGTTTAAAGCCAATTCTTTTTGAATTGGATTTTGATTTAAAACATTTAAGTCCGGTGTTCATGAGAGTGCTTTCTTCTGCTAGGTCTTTCGTTTTGGCTGTGGTGGGGAAGGTGGTCTGGTGCCCTCCAACTGCCTGCTATGGCTACATCACTTATTCACGGCTCGGTGAGCTGCTTGGGGCATGTGAAACCATTTTGTGGGTTTTTCAGGGCTGGGGTGGGGTTGGGGGAGGGAACAGGTGAAAGTGGAGCTTGTCATATGTAGAGAAACAATGGGGTCAAGTCCCCTTGTTTCCCACTGAGCCCTTTCCATCAACTCCTGCCACGGAAGGTCACCTTGCATGCCAGCCCCTAGGACAAGGCACTTGAAGTGATGCTGCTGGGTCAGTGGGCGTTTATCGTGTTCCCAGCACCCTGCTCAGCGCCGTGGGTGAGAATAAAAAGGGGAGACTATATAAAAGTAGCAGAAGCTTCGGGGAGTATCCAGGTGAGTGGTGAGTAATGTGATCTGCCCTCTCGAAGGGATTCTAACCACGGGTGGAAAATACCATTCATAAGGCCAGCGTTGTCCAGGCTCCATCTGCTGGCATCTGGGAACCAAAACTCCCAGATGGCCAGATCCCCTGTGGCTTCTCACCCAGACAGCAGCGCCAGTACATTACACTTGTACCGGGGGGAACAGCTGACCAGTTTGGCCACAGGCCAGACCAGTGCTTGTCTTGCCAAGTGGATGACCAGATCGTGCTCTCTGGAGGTTGCAAATACATAGGCGGAAACCTCTCACATGACTCAGGTGACAGGGAGGAAGTGAAAGAAGAGGCTGAGGTGAAAAAGCCAGTACAGAATGAGTTGCCCTAGTGGAGTAAAGCAATCAGCTAGTTGGTTATCAGTCTTAAAGAACAAGAAAGGTACATTCTAGTAGGTTTAATCAAATGCTATTAATCTGACCAAGGCCTCAGTTCATCTAGCTACCAAAAACATGGGTTCTGCTTTCACCACCTTTTTCTTGAATGTACACAGCCATGCTATCGAGCAGGGCTTAGCCCACCCACCTCTGCTTGTAACAAGGGCTGTGCCTGGCGGACCTGGACCCCGCAGGGAGTTGGGCTTCTGAAGGGGAAGCAATGTCCTCTGTTCCTATACAACAGGGACTGGCAAACTTCACCTGTAAAGATCCAGTTAGTAAGTATTTCGGGCTTTGCAGGCCGTGTGGTCTCTGGTGCAGGTATTTGACCCTGCCACGGTAGCATGAAATAAGCCACGGACAATATGCTTAAATGAATGGATACAGCTATATTCCCCAAAAAACTTTATGAACACTAAAAAGAAGCAGGCAGTTTGAATTCATATTGTTATCACATGTCACAAAATTTTATGACTCTTTTGATTTTTATTTTCAAGCATTTAAAGCTGGAGAAACCTTTCTGAGCCCACTAGCCTTTCAAAAACTAGCAGCCGGCCAGATTTTGCCCAGGGGCCATGGTTTGCACACCTCAACTATGTGTGTGGGGAAAGCAGCCTTCCAGCTGCCAAGGGAAAGCAGATTACTGTCTTGGGCCCTCCCATCAGCTACCCAGTGGTCTTTGCCTCCAAAATAAACAGCAAATAACACCACAGTCCTTAATTAAGCTGTTTTTAAAATCCATGTTCCAGAGGGAAAACCAAAACCAAAACCAGAAAATACTTATTGCTCGTTGAATTGTCTCAAACGCAGGCAAGCATTCCTCAAGAACTGAAAGGCTTGGGTCCAGGAACCTGCTGACCGTGGAGTACAAACCCCACTGAGCTAAGGGCTAACTCCCAGGCCCAGGGCCTTCCCCCAATGACTCAGCCTATAATGATTTCTAAGCA